TGTAACCCCAGCACTTTGAGAGGGCGAGGCAGGAGGATCAAGGCTGCAGTGAGCTATAGGGATGTCAAGGCTGTAGTGAGCTATGATCGCACCACTGCCCTCCAGCCTGGGTGACAGAGCAAGACCCTGTCTCAAAAACAAACAAACCTGTAGACCTGCCTAAACTCTGGGGATGGGACCAGCAGTCCCTTTTAACCAGCCCTTCCAGGGACTTCATTCATCAGACACATGACATCCCTTCGAAGCCTCTCTAGTTTGAGAGCCATTGGCATGAAAGAAATGTAGATCATATTATTTGGATGCCAAGATGAGGGGTGTAAGCACTTTGATCCTGCAGATGGGGGAGCAGGGAGCCTCTGAGCTCAGACCTGAAAACCAGGGATGGGGGGACACAGGGCAGGCAGAGTGTCTTGGGCAGGGTCGCTTGTTGAATGTGGCCTGGATGTTTAGGGGTGAGGGAGAGGAGTTACCAGCTGAGGCCTTATAGGAACTGGCATGTTCTACCAAGAAGGCTGGACATCTTTGAGGCACTCTAAAGAGTTTTTAGCAGAGGAGGGATACGGTCCCATTTGTATTTGAGATCGCCTTTCTGGATGCCAGGAAGAAGAGCAGAGAAGTGGGGCAGGTGAGGAGGCTGGATCAGGAGTTCAGGCATGAGTGCTCTTGACCCTGAGTGGTAACCAGGGAGAAAAGAGAGGCTTCTGGTGGGGACTTACTGACCATGGAGGGGAGGGAAGTGGGAGAGGGATCTGAATGGTAGACCCTTCAGGGATGTCATGTGTCTGATGAATGAATGAACAAAAATAAACTGAATACCTACTGTGTCTCAGTTGCTGGGACTGCAGCAATGAACAGAGACAAAAATTCCTGCCTTTGTAATGCTGACAGTTTTGTGGCTGGAGAGAAAGATTATTTAGAAAAACAGATATATGGCTGGATGCATTGGCTCATGCCTGTAATCCCAGCACTTTGGGAGGCCGAGGTGGGTGGATCATGAGCTTAGGAGTTCAAGACCAGCCTGGCCAATATGGTGAAACCCTGTCTCTACTAAAAATACAAAAATTAGCCGGGCATGGTGGTGTGCACCTGTAATCCTAGCTACTCGGGAGGCTGAGGCAGGAGAATTGCTTGAACCCAGGAGGCGGAGGTTGCAGTGAGCCGAGATTGCACCATGGCATTCCAGCCTGGGTGACAGAGCAAGGCTGTGTCTTGGAGGGGGCTGGGGGTGGGGGGGAAGAAAAATAAGGAAAATGTGTATGTGTCAGACAAACGCATATAATATGTCAGATGGTGAGAAAAGAGGAAAAGATTCAAGGAAGTGGTAGGAGTGTGGTGAATTACATTAGTTTTTACATTGCCATAAAGAAATACCTGAGGCTGGGTAATTTATAAAGAAAAGAGGTTGGATTGGCTCAGTTCTGGGGGCTGTAGAGGAAGTGTGGTGCCTGCATCTGCTCAGCTTCTGTGGAGGCCTCAGGGAGCTTTTACTCTTGATGGAAGTGAAGCAGGAGTTGGCATGTCACATGATGAGGCAGCTAGCAAGAGAGGAGGGGAGGTCCCCACTCTTTTTTTTTTCCCCCGAGATGGAGTCTCCCTGTGTTGCCAGGCTGGAGTGCAGTGGCATGATCTTGGTTCACTGCAACCTCTGCCTCCTGGGTTCAGTGATTTTCCTGTCTTAGCCTCCTGAGTAGCTGGGATTATTACAGTCATTCGCCTCACCACACCCAGTTAATTTTGTATTTTTAGTAGCAACAGGGTTTCACCATGTTGGCCAGGCTGGTCTTGAACTCCTGCCCTCCTGATCCGCCTGCCTTGGTCTCCCAAAGTGCTGGGATTACAGGTGTGAGCCACCATGCCCAGCCCTCTTTTCCTTTTTTCTTTTTTTTGAGATGGAGTCTCACTCTTGCCCGGACGGGAGTGCAACGGTGTGATCTCATCTCACTGCAACCTCTGCCTCCTGGATTCAAGCGATTCTCCTGCCTCAGCCTCCCAAGTAGCTGGGACTATAGACACCAGCCACCATGCCTGGCTAATTTTTTTTTTTTTTCTGTATTTTTGTATTTTTAATAGAGACAGCGTTTTACCATGTTTGCCAGGCTGGTCTCGAACTCCTGACCTTTTGATCTGCCCGCCTCAGCCTCCCAAAGTGCTGGGATTATAAGCATGAGCCACCGTGCCTGGCCAGCCCTACTTTTTTTTTTCTTTTTCTTTTTCTTTTTTTGAGATGAATTCTCACTCTGTTGCCCAGGCTGGAGTGCAGTGGTGCAATCTCAGCTCACTGCAACCTCCATCTCCCAGGTTCAAGGGATTCTCCTGCCTCAGCCTCCTGAGGAGCTGGGACTACAGGCACCTGCCACCACACCCGGCTAATTTTGTATATTTAGTAGAGATGAGGTTTTGCCATGTTAGGCCTGGATAGTCTTGAACTCCTGACCTCAAGTGATCTGCCTCCGCTTTCTAAAGTGCTAGGATTACAGGGGTGAGCCATGCCTGGCCGAATGTTGTAGTTTCAAATACAACAATCATGGAAGGCCTCCCTGAGGAGGTGATAGGAGCAGTGGACAGATGAGGTCAGGTCATAAGGGTGTTTTGGAGAAGAGCAAGTCACAGAGTGCAGCAGGTCACTCACTTATGTGGAGAGCAGGTGGAGGGGAGATGGTCTGGATACCTGGGCGCAGGGATGGGAATGGCCAGGAGTGTTCAACTTTCATCTGCCTGCCCAGGGCAAACAGAGAGCCGTGGGCGGCTACAGGGGGTGGCAGAACTGCGCCTGGCAGGCCTGGAGCTGACAGACGCCTCCCTTCGGCTCCTGCTGCGCCATGCACCCCAGCTGAGCGCCCTGGACCTGAGCCACTGCGCCCACGTCGGGGACCCCAGTGTTCACCTCCTCACGGCCCCCACATCCCCACTCCGCGAGACCCTGGTGCACCTCAATCTTGCTGGTAAGCATGATCCCCCCTCTGTCCTGCTGGCCTGTGGGTCCCCACGGCCAGTGCTCACCCCTTGCTCACCTGCCTGGTCTCAGCTGCCACCACCCCTTCCCCAGGTTGCCACCGCCTAACGGACCACTGCCTCCCGCTGTTCCGCCGCTGCCCACGTCTACGCCGCCTAGACTTGCGCTCCTGCCGCCAGCTCTCACCTGAAGCTTGTGCCCGGCTGGCGGCCGCCGGGCCCCCTGGCCCTTTCCGCTGCCCTGAGGAGAAGCTGCTTCTCAAGGACAGCTAGTTGGGCGCCCCCCACCCTCCCCCGGACTCGGCCGGAGCCTGGACCTCCGTCTTCATTTCACCCCTGCTGGGAGGCCAGGTTCCCACCTCATGACCCCCGGGGATTCCTGAGTGATTCCCGCCTAGGGACTCAAGCCAGCCACCCCCTTCTCCCCCCCCTGCACTGATATCTCTGGGGGTTTCTCCTTCCCATGTCCTCCCCCTGCTACCTGCTTCATTGTCCATCTCCTGGGGGGAGTGGGTCAGAGGTACTGGAGGGTGCTGAGCCGAAGGGACGGTGGGAGGGGGGTTATGGTGCAAGTGTTAGTGGGGGAGAATGGGGAAAGGACGCACACAGGATATGGGAGCCCGGGGCTGGGGGAGGTGGAAGGGTCGGGGGGCGGGGCAGACAGCAGACCACCAAGGGTTCAGGGAACAAAGACCAGTTATGTGGAGTGGGGGGTGGGGGGGGCCACAAAGGGAAACTGGAGGAGCAATTGGGAATCCAGGTGTCAGAGGTAGGGGAGCCAGGGGCAAGCCGGGGCTGAGTGGGAGGTGGGGACGAGAGCAGGTGTTGGGACAGCAGTACCCCCTTGGGGGTCACCTCTCTCCTTCGCCCCTCCCTAGGCTTCAGTTCCTCCCCCCTGACCCTGACTCCTTGAACGTCACTGAAAACGGCAGCTATTGCAAGGAGTGGGGGCCACGGGCAGCCGCTCTTCGGCTCGTGGCCCAGGGGAGTGGCGAGGGGCACCCCAACCCCCTGCCTGCTTCTCCGCACAATACTTGAACATTCATCTGTACTGAAGTGTTACTTGAACCGGGGGAACCTCGGACCTGGGGGAGCCGGAGTGTAAGGGGACTGGACCAGCTTGGACTGAGACCTGAGACCGGGCCGGTGGGCGCCCAGCTGGGACTGCGCCCCCAGGCTCGCTCTTGTTTTACTGTATTGAGTGGCGGCACCCGCCGTACCTGCATTATGACGGGGGGTGCCAGCCTAAGGATGGGAATGATGGGACTCCTCCAGCTTGGCTCTTCCCACTCTTTCATCGTCATGGAAACTTGTATCCCATTTGTCCAGGGAACTGCCACTCCTGGTTGCCATGGCAGCCAACGGACACCTCCCGAAGCCAGTGCTAAGGCTGGAAATGGCCCCTCTTAGTTGCCATGGGAATCTAGTAACAGACTCTCCTGGCCCTCCTCCCCCGCCCCTTCCTCCGGCGCGGGGTGGGGCTTCGGGACCCGGGGGAGGAGCCGGACCAAGCCCCGCCCCTCCGCACAGGCCTCGTGGTGGGGGCCGGGGCTTACCAAGTGGGGGGGGGATCTATCCACATACCTCAGGTAACAGGGAGGTGAGCGGGTGGGGGGAGGGCTGGGCGGACCAAAGGCCGGAGGGGAGGGGCCTGGGGATCGCGAGAGGTTTGAGGATGGGGCCGCTTGGGGGAGGGAGGAGACAGCCCGGCGAGAGGCAAGCGGGGGACCCAGCCGGGCTGGGCCCCTGGGCCCCGAATCTGTACAATACGGTTTGCTATAAAACTCAAAATCTTCCAGCCGGGGCCGCTGAGTTCGTGTGTGTGTCTGCGTCGTCAGGGTGCGGGGGAAGGGGAGGGGAGAGGAGAGGAGGGGCCCCTGCGTTTCCTACAGATGAGTAGGATCACCTCTCCTGGGTTCATTTTGGGAGAGATTTGGAAGTGGACACCTGGGGTGACCAGGTGTATCTTGGAGTGGGCTGGGGCTGGCGGGCGGCTCGGTGGGGTCTGGGCGCTTGGATGATTGATGTTCTTGGTGGGTGAGGGTCGCGAGGATCTCTGCCGGTCCAGGACTACGGGGGCTCGGTCCCCGGCTCCACCCCATCATGTGGCCGGCCCGGCTCCGCCTCTGCTCTAGTTCCTGTTTCGGCCTCCGCTGTCCTGCTCCGGCCCCTGGGACTCCCCGCAGACGCTTCTCTTCCTGCTCCGCTGGGGCCGCCTCTTCCTGGGCGCCCTCGTCCTGCATCCTGCTCTCCCTGCTGGGGGATGGGGCCGCCCCCGGGCTTGGGCCGGCCGGACTGGGGCCCCCGAGGCGCCTCGACCCCGCAGTGACCGCCCGGCCCGCCTGGTGCCACCGTCCCCAGGATGAAGGGCGGCGAGGGGGACGCAGGCGAGCAGGCCCCGCTGAACCCGGAGGCTGAGAGCCCTGCGGGCTCGGCCACGTACCGGGAGTTCGTGCACCGCGGCTACCTGGACCTTATGGGGGCCAGTCAGCACTCGCTGCGGGCGCTCAGCTGGCGCCGTCTCTACCTCAGCCGGGCCAAGCTCAAAGCCTCCAGCCGCACGTCTGCCCTGCTCTCGGGCTTCGCCATGGTGAGGGGCGGGGAGGGGCCACACACGGTGGGGCGAGCACGTGGGGGGCACAGGTCGGGGGCTGAAATAAATAGATCCCAAGGGAGACAGGGCAGAGGAGAGGGAGAAATGGGCTTTCGGGGGTCAAGGGGAAAGGAACAAGGTCCCAAGGGACTGAGCAAGTCTGTTCTTATGGATGTGTGTGTACAGGGACCTCAGGAGATGGGATCACCGGAGGACACAAAGGTCCCAAAGGTGTCATGGGGGGAGTGGGGTGAAAAAATCACCAGTGGGGTTGACTGCAACGATGAGGCAGGGTGGTCCAGACAGAACCTGTTCCTGGCAGAAGTGGTTCCTAAGTCCCAGTGCCAGCTTCAAAGGCAAGTCAGCTGGGTGGGGGGCTGCATCAATCGTCGGGGGGCTCGGGATGGATCAGCTATGTGGAAAGGTCACCCAGCTGAAGGTGGGCCCGTCCCAGGGAAGGTGGCCACTCTCCAGCAGGCCCAAGGGATGCTAATGTAAACCAGGAAAACTTTGACAAAAGATGACTCCCGGGAGGCAGCCGCTGGAGAAGGAGGCCGATAAAAAAAAAAAAAAACCTGATAAGCGATTCTCAAGCTGATAAACCGCAGGTGCAGGAGAACTGTGTCAGCTAACGGTCTGTCCCAGTGGTAGCCTCACAGGAAGTGGGACGGAGGAAGGTCCCAGGGTAAGGATCAGCACAGTCCTGGCTCCTCCCTGCTTATGGACAGCTGTGTGACCCTGGACAGGCTTCCACCCACCTTGCAGGCCAGTGGGAAACTGAGATCATGGAGGGTGCGCCCTCTGTAGCCTGCCAAGTACCCGCCCCAGGGTGAGCCAAGCATGTCAGAGCAGGCCATGCACCAGGGATGGCTCAGACTAGCCTGCTAATTGGATAGGTGTGGAAAGAAAAGGTCTTGCCTCTGGGCAGGAACCCTGCCAAGGGCACTACAGATGGAGGCTGGCAAATGAACTGGCACCCAGGGTTGCTGCTCTGTTGGTCTGGGGTTTCCCCACCACCCCAGGAAAAAGGAGAAAGCGGCTGCAGGAGGTAATTTGGGGAAAGCACTCCTGTGGGGGTGGATACCAGAGGCAGCTGGGGTGGGGACCATGGCGCTAAGGGATCTGGGCTAGTCCCTGCCCCATCTGTGCCACAGCCTCTGTATTTGAATGATGGCAGGGAAACTCCCTAACTGTAAAGGTCATCATAGGCCTACGGTCTTCTACATGGGGTCCCAGAATCCACAGACTAGCTTACCTTTCCTGATGGGGGCATCACCTGGGGACAGGGCGTTGGCTTCCCTGCATCTGCACAGCCTGCAGAGGGAAGGGAGCAACCATCCAAGCTGAGGGAGGTCAATCCCCTGGTCCAGCCTGTTCCCAAGGAGACAATCTGGCTGCAGCAGGATGTGCCGGTTGCTGGGGTGACAGGTTAAGGGCCCAGGCATTCTCCGCAGGAGTAAGGGGCTGGAAGTTTAGGTTCTGGGAGCAAGACTGGCCACATTCCTAGCAGTGGAGACCCAGGCTGGGCCGGGCTCTGGGAGAAACCAGGACTAAGCCTGGCCCAGATCCCTGTCTGTGGAAAACACCTCTTGACACCTGCCATGGCCCAATTTCCCAAAATACTCAGCCCTGTTTTCCTACCTCCACCCGCCAGCCTCTGCACCTACCTTCTCCTTCCTTCAGGCCCAGAGCAATCAAACAGACCCTACATGAACCAAGGATAGGGAGAGAGCGGGATTCTGAAACTCAGGTGGCCTGTGTTAGAATAATATTATACAAATTGTGCCAGGTGCAGTGGCACATGCCTGTAGTCCTAGCTACTTGGGAGGCTGAGGTGGGAGGATCGCTTGAGCCCAGGAGTTCTGGGCTGTAGTGGGCTATGCCGATCGGGTGTCCAAACTAAGTTCGGCATCAATATGGTGACCTCCTGGGAGCAGGGGAGCACCAGGTTGCCTAAGGAGGGGTGAACCGGCCCAAGTTGGAAACGGAGCAGGTCAAAACTCCCATGCTGATCAGTAGTGGGATCGCGCCTGTGAATAGCCACTGCACTCCATCCAGCCTGGGCAACATAGCGAGACCCTGTCTCTGAAAAAACAAATTGTATCCAGCTGTCACTAAGCACCAGGCACTGGACTCAGTGCTTTTATGTACATCATCTGTTATCCTACAAAGTGGGTACTGATACTCTGACCATTTTACAGATGAGGAAACTGAGGATCAGAGATATTAAGACACCTGCCCAAGGTTGCACAGCAAATAAGTGGCAGGATTTGAGCCTAAGCAGTCTGGTTCCAGACTCCAAATTTATTCATTCCTAGAATAGGATCATCAACTCAAATGTCTGCAAAGGGACAGGCAGGTAATATGGATGCCAAGTTGGCTGGATAGGGACTAGCAAGCAAGAGACCCCATGACATTGGGGGTGATAGCTCATGCCTGTCATCCCAGCACTTTGGGAGACCAAGGCAAGAGGATCGCTTGAGCCCAGGAGTTTGAGCCTGGGCAACATAGCAAGATTTGGTGTCTACCAAAAAAAAGAGACCCTGTGACCTTTCCAAGGGGAGAAGCCATGACATTCGAGCTGATAGTTGCTGCGCAGGAACATGGGCTGAGTATGGCCAGATCTTCCAAGTTTTCAAGGGGATCTGGAAATAGGGATATAAGAACTCTCTTGAGTTTTAAAAGTTGGCAACTTCTTCCATTTTTAAAAAAACACACTGTGTGAGCCAAGCAAGACATGTCTGTCTGCAAGCTGGCAGTGGGCCACAGGGTGCCAATTTGTAAACTCTGTCCTCAGACTTTAGCTTTCAGTATAGCAAGAACAGCAAACATGTACCTAGTGCTTCCTTTGTACCTGGCACTGTTCTTAGCATTTCATGTATGTTTCTTTTTTTTCGAGACAGTCCCACTCTGTCGTCCAGTCTGGAGCGCAGTGGCGTGATCTCCGCTCACTGCAAGCTCTGCCTCCTGAGTTTAAGCAATTCTCCTGCCTCAGCCTCCTGGGCTTCCAAGTAGTTAGGATTACAGGCGGGCCACCTCGCCCTGCTAATTTTTGTATTCTTAGTACTAAGAGACAGGGTTTCGCCATGTTGGCCAGGTTGATCTTGAACTCCTGATCTCAGGTGATCCACCTGCCTTGGCCTCCCAAAGTGCTGGGATTACAGGCCTGAGCCCAGCCCATTTCATGTATATTTCATTTAATGTTGGCACCAACCCTATAAGGCAGGGGGGTTGTGTTATTAATCTCCATTTCCAGATAGTAAATTGAAGCACACAGAGAACTTGACTTGCTCGAGATTACACAGATAGAATTGAGAATGAGCCTAGGCAGTCCAGCTCCAGAATCTGCTGTTTGATCCCTATAACAAGTTAACGTGTCAGAAGCATGTCATCCAGCCCTCTTTTTTTTTTTTTTTTGAAACAGTCTCTGTCGCCCAGCCTGGAGTGCAATGGCTTGATTCGGCTCACTGCAACCTCTGCCTCCTAAGTTTAAGCAATTCTCCAGCCTCAGCCTCCTGAGTAGCTCAGATTGCAGACACGTGCGACTCCCAGCTAATACTTTTCTTTATTTTATTTTACTTTTTTTAGACAGAGTTTTGCTCTTGTTGCCCAGGCTGGAGTACAATGGCTCAATCTTGGCTTACTGCAACCTCCACCTTTCCGGGTCAAGCGATTCTCTTGTGTCAGCCTCCCGAGTAGCTGAGATTACAGGCATGTGCCACCATGGTCAGCTATTTTTTTTTTTTTTTTGTATTTTTATTAGAGACGGGGTTTCTCCATGTTGGTCAGGCTGGTGCTGAGATTATAGGCGTGAGCCACCATTCCCGGTCCTGAGATTATAGGTGTGAGCCACCATGCCCGGCCATCCAGCCCTCTTGATAGGCAGGTGGTGAAACCAGAACAGAACAGAGCCTTTGCAAAGCTGTTCATTCATTTACTCAATGGAGACTGAATGTCTCTGCTTTCTGCCAGGCACAGTTCTAGGTCCTAGGGATATGTATCAGTGATGTATCCCAATAGGCGGGGAAAACCTCTACGGTTGAGGAGGTTATGGGGACTCAGTCCATCCCCTCTTGTCCCCGCAGGTGGCCATGGTGGAGGTGCAACTGGAGAGCGACCACGAGTACCCGCCAGGCCTGCTGGTGGCCTTCAGTGCCTGCACCACCGTGCTGGTAGCTGTGCATCTCTTTGCACTCATGGTCTCCACATGTCTGCTGCCTCACATTGAAGCCGTGAGCAACATCCACAACCTCAACTCTGTCCATCAGTCACCACACCAGAGACTGCACCGCTACGTGGAGCTGGCCTGGGGTTTCTCCACTGCCCTGGGCACCTTTCTCTTCCTTGCTGAGGTTGTCCTGGTTGGTTGGGTCAAGTTTGTGCCCATTGGGGCTCCCTTGGACACACCGACCCCCATGGTACCCACATCCCGGGTGCCCGGGACTCTGGCACCAGTGGCCACCTCCCTTAGTCTAGCTTCCAATCTCCCACCATCCTCTGCATCTGTAGCACCATCCCAGGCTGAGTCAGTCTGCCCACCCCGGCAAGCCTGTGGTGGTGGTGGGGGCCATGGGCCCGGCTGGCAAGCAGCCATGGCCTCCACGGCCATCATGGTACCTGTGGGGCTTGTGTTTGTGGCCTTTGCCCTGCATTTCTACCGCTCCTTAGTGGCACACAAGACCGACCGCTACAAGCAGGAGCTAGAAGAGCTGAATCGCCTGCAGGGGGAGCTGCAGGCTGTGTGAGGCTGGTGTTAGTCACCGCTGCAGGCACTGCCTCCCTCCAGGGTCTGCAAGAGGCCCTGGGGGCCTACAGACCTCATTCTTCCCATCCCCTGGCTGGAGCCACTTCCAGAGGCCACTCTCAGGTAGAGGTCAAATTCCTGCCTGCAGGGTCCTTTGGGCCTTGGGGCAGCTCCCACATTCCCAGGGATTTTCCCCATCAGTCTGTCCCTTGGGTTTTGCAAGCTACTCTGCGCCTGGGCTGGCCTCAGTTGAAGGGTCATGCAGTAGATAGAGGGGAGGCAGGGAGACCTTGTGGGACCTTCGGTTGTGACCTCGGCCACCACTTCCATTCCTATACAGGATGTGAAGGTCAGAAGGCAGCCAGCCCATACTTTAATTTTTTTTTTTTTTTAAGACAGTCTCCTTCTGTTGCCCAGGCTGGAGTGCAGTGACACAGTCACAGCTAACTGTAGCCTCAACCTTCCAGGCTCACGAGATCCTCCCAACCCAGCCTCCCAGGTAGCATGAAGCTGGTACTATAGACACATGCTGCCACACCTAATTTTTTTTTTTTTTTTTTAGGTAGAGATGGGGTTTTGCCATGTTCCCAGGCTGGTCTCAAATTCCTGGGCTCAAGTGAACCTTCTGCCTCAGCCTTCCAAAGTGCTGGGATTCCTTGCTTTATCTTTGTAGAATCTATTTTATCGTTGGCATTTTTGGGGAAGATTTTCTCCATCCCTAGATTTTGATGCTTTCCACATTCCACATTCTTGCTGTAGTTGTTGCAGAGGGATTTGGGTGTTTCTATCCCAGGCATTGGTCTAGCTTTTCCTATGATGAGCCTCCCTATCTTTGGAGGTTCAAGCTCCCCCGCTTCCCCCACCGTGGTGACCTGTGGCCACTCACAGGAGGGATGGTGCCTGACCCACTGCCTTAGCCCCACGCTATGCACCAAACTTGTTCTCCCCTTCCTGGGCCAGGGCTGGGGTCTTTAGAGACTGATAGCCAGTGCACCAGGCCTGACTCCTTAGCAGGAGTTGAGTGAGGAGGTTTTAAGGGAGAAGGTCCAGTCCTTAGCCCTTGGAATACAGAGCTCTTCTGACAGTGAATTTGGATGCACCTTGTTTTGTATAATAAATTGTGTTTCACAGATGTCCCTGTTGCTGTGAACAGAATGCAGGGCAGAACTTCTTAGGATAACTTGACTTGTTCCTAAGAGCTGGGTGGTGGCAAGTTTGGGTGGGCAAGACCTGAGAGGGGAGTGGGTTCCAAGTGTGTTAGGAGTGGCCCCTACTAACGGGCCAGATGATAACAGGGGCCAACAGCTTCTGAATGGGGAGAATTCTTCCAAGGCTATAGGCTTTTAACTCTTGTCCCTGAGTTCATGGTCTCTATGTCTTCCACTGAATATTTATTTTCTTTCTTTTCTTTTTTTTTTTTTTTTTGAGATGGAGTTTCGCTCTTGTTACCCAGGCTGGAGTGCAATGGCACGATCTCGGCTCACCGCAACCTCTGCCTCCTGCGTTCAGGCAATTCTCCTGCCTCAGCCTCCTGAGTAGCTAGGATTACAGGCACATGCCACCATGCCCAGCTAATTTTTTTGTATTTGTAGTAGAGACGGGGTTTTACCATGTTGACCAGGATGGTCTCGATCTCTTGACCTCGTGATCCACCCGCCTCGGCCTCCCAAACCTCTGTCTCCTGGATTCAAGCAATTCTCCTGCATCAGCTTCCCAAGTAGCTGGGATTACAGGTGTGTGCCACCACACCTGGCTAATTTTCATATTTTTAATAGATTTTTAGTAGACATGGGTTTTTGTCATGTTGGCCAGGCTGGTCTCTCTCAAACTCCTGATCTCAGGTGATCCACATACCTTGGCCTCCTAAAGTGCTGAGATTACAGGCATGAGCCACTGCACTCAGCCCTCCACTGAATATTTAAGTTTTTCTTTCTTTTTGAGACAGAGTCTCACTCTTTTGCCCAGGCTGGAGTGCAGTTGTACAATCTTGGCTCACTGCAGCCTTGACCTCCCAGGCTCATGAGCCTCCCGCCTCAGCCTCCCAAATAGCTGGTACCACAGGCACATGCCACCACACCCAGCTAGTATCTTTTTTTGTAAAGAGGAAGGTCTCACTATGGTTTTTTTATTTTTATTTTTAATTTTTTTTTTTTTTTTGAGACAGAGTCTCACTCTGTCACCAGGCGCCAGGCTGGAGTGCAGTGGCACGACCTTGGCTCACTGCAGCCTCCGCCTCCCGGGTTCAAGCAGTTCTCCTGCCTCAGCCTCCTGAATAGCTGGGACTACAGGCACACACCACCACGCGCAGCCAATTTTTTTGTATTTTTAGTAGAGATGGGGTTTCACCATGTTGGCCAGGATGGTCTCGATCTCTTGACCTCCACCAGCCTCGGCCTCCCAAAGTGCTGGGATTACAGGCGTGAACCACCGCACCCGGCCTGGGTCTCACTATGTTGTCCAGGCTGGTCTTGAATTCCTGGGCTCAAGTAATCCTGTCGTCTTGGCCCCCGAAAGTGCTGAGATTACAAGTGTGAGCCACTGCACCTGGCCTCAAATTTCTTTCTTGAGCAACCACCACATAATAGGGGCCCTTCATAGGTTATCTTATTTAACTCCCACAACACCTCAAGCAATAAGTCTTTATCATTTCCATTTCAGAGATAAGGTAACAGGCCCAACAAGGCTGAAGATCTTGCCCCAAACCACACAGCTAGTCCATGAACCTGAACTTGGATTATCTTTTTTTTTTTTTTTTTTTTGAGATGGAGTCTTGATCTGTCACCCAGGCTGGAGTGCAATGGCTCAATCTTGGCTCACTGTAACCTCTGCCTCCCGGGTTCAAGCGATTCACCTGCCTCCACTTCCTGAGTAGGTTGGATTCCAGGCGCCCACCACTGCACCCGGCTAATTTTTGTATTTTTAGTAGAGACGGGGTTTCGCCACGTTGGCCAGGCTGGTTTTGAACTCCTGACCTCAGTAACCTCAGCAATACATCCCAATGTATTGGAATTACAGGCTTGAGTCAACGCCCCTGGACTGAACTTGGACTATCTTTACCCCTCACATAGGAATCTATCTCTCTTGAGAAAAAGAACCAGTGCCTTTAAACTAGAACAGAAAGGAATCTGATCTCAACACCTATGCGTCCACATGAATTATTTTTTTCAGCCTTATTTCCCTCAAAATTTTGGAGTCCTAATCTTTTATCTTGTGGTGTGAGACCTTGGATACGTCTCTTTTCACCTTTTGCTATTACTTAAAATGGTGAATCTGCATAAGCCCAGCTCTAAGGGCCTTTTCTGCACTGTTCGGATGTCTACAAATTGACATGCAAGTTTAGAGGAAGACTCTGACAGAGAGGTCAATGATTTGCCCAAGGTCATATAGTGAGGGCCTAATGTACACATACATGGAGCCTGGGGCATCCCCAGCTCAGTAAGAGGGGCCTCCTGAGAGTGCCTGCGTCCACCCAGGATAAAAAGGATGCCCAGCCTTAAGGCGACCTCAGCCCAAGTTCCAGGTGTAGGCCTGGGCCGGTGCTGCCCTCGTGCGGAGGGATCCCGTGAGCTTAGGATGCCATAGCCGAAGAAGCGGGCACTGGGACCATGACGTAAAGAGGAATCACCAGCCCAGTCCCGTTCCTCTAGTACCTCGTTTATTACTTATTACAAGGCCCATTTAAGGGCACTTAAACCCACTAGGCTTATCAGAAAACCTCGAGGCAGTCCCTAGATTTAACCACTAATGGGTTGAGTACGGCAAAGCGGGGCACCTTCTACAGGCCTCAGTCTCCCCCATCTGGGAAATGGGCATCCTAAGCAGCCAGAGGCCCAAGCGGGATAACGGGAAGGAAAGGCTCCCGGCATTTATGTGCGAGGCCGGGTAAACCGCCTGAGTCACCGCTCGCCGTGGTGTTTTTCCACCTCCCGGCCGCCCCTCCCACCCGGGTGGGTCCTAGTGGGCCCTCCCGGAGGCTCCCCCTCACCCTGGGTTGCGCACGCCCTGGCCACGCCCCTTGCCTCGGCTCCGCCCACAGCAGAATCCGCAGATTCGCCAGACCGAATCCTCAGAATTCCTTGGGTCCCTCTGTGGTCGGCTGAAAATTCTTTTCGGACTCTGAGAGGCGTTCTGGGCTGGAAGCATTTTCCCCAGGGTCTGAAGCGAGCTATCCTCTCACTTGGGCCAGTAAGAAAAATCCAGAAAAAGTTGACTCTGCCAGCAGGGATTGGCTAAACGGCCGTTATTTTCTTGACTCCATCAAGGTGGATGAAGGGGAGGCTACGGCTGAGGCTGGGAACGGTGGCGAATCTGCAGCCTCTTAGACCTTTGGCTGTGCAAGGAAGGGACAGGGAAGAAGAGCAAATCGGCGCGCATCCTGTCTACCGATTCGCCCCGCCCGCCCGGCGAATCTGCGTCTACCGAACGCGGCACTGAAGCTTCCCCAGTACTGGCTGGCCTCCTCCCCTTCGCCCCGCCTCTTTTCCTCAGGGACTAGTCGCAGCGTTCGTCGCCGCCGATTCATCAAGCACCCCAGGCCGCAGCATCTGGATCGTTGTGGCGAAGCCCACTCTCCGGGGGATGCGGCCAATTTCCAGGCTCCCTGGGCCGCAAATCCCGAGCCATCTAGGGCGCCGGCCGAGACGAGGCCGCTATCCCCGGCCCCGTGGGTCTCCCAGAAGCGCCCGTGGCGAAAGTGCGAATGCAGACTTTGTGCCCGCTGGGCCTCGCGCAGGTGGCGGTGGTGTTTGGTGCGCGCGCCGGGGAGGTGGTGGTGGGGGGGCGCCGCCGCCGCCACCGCTGCGGGGCCGGGTCTCGCGCTGCCGCTGCCACCGCCTCGCGCCGCTGAGGTGCCGCGCGGGGTGGGGGGAGGGGGAGCCGCTCGCCGGGAGCGGGTGAGTGGGGCCGCGCGGCGCGCGTGCGCGGAGATCTGCTGGGGGGGTGCAGAACGCGCCGGGGCGGGAGAAGAGGGCAGCAGCGCGCGTTCCCTCCACCCCCTGCCTGGATTCGGGGCCGAAGCCGGGTCTCGGGCTCGGTCTCGCGGTGTTTCCAACGCCCCGAAGAGGTGCCACCTTTCGGCTGGCGGATCGGGGCGCGGGGACGCGAGCCGGGTGTGTGGGAGCCGTGGCCGGGCTCGGCCCGGGCCGCTGGCCGGTGAGGAGGCGGGAGGGGGCGGGGCCTGCAGGGGGCGGGGGAAGGGTCTTGCGCCGAGGCCAAGTGGGGCGCGCGCTAGGGAGAGCGGGAAGGTAAGGGGGCTCGAGACGGGCCTGGGTGCCTGACGGTGGAGTTGGGAGGTGGAGAGAGGCCGGGTTGTTGTGGTCGAGACAGAGGGTACTTAGGGCAGAATCTAGGGGAGCCCCGGGTCAGAGTGAGGGTTGAAAACTTGAGTGATGAGGGAACCTGGAATTGGGGCTAGCCAATCAGGAACCGCAGAGGAGTCAGGCCCAAGTCCTGACCCTTCCTGCATATCCCCCTTTCCCTAACAGTGTAAATGAGCAAAGATGGATCAGGAAGGTGGGGGAGATGGGCAGAAGGCCCCGAGCTTCCAGTGGCGGAACTACAAGCTCATCGTGGATCCTGCCTTGGACCCTGCTCTGCGCAGGCCTTCTCAGAAGGTGTACCGCTATGATGGAGTCCACTTCAGTGTCAACGTGAGTGCCTGGGCCTTTCCTTGCCATCCGGAGAGCTCCAGGCACCCCTGTCCTCTGTGACTCTGTTCAGGACCTAGAACTCCTGTACCAGTAGCCTGCCCTCTTGAAAGTGGGCAGTTGAACCCAGCTCTTTTGATGTGTGGGTCCAGATGGGCTTCTTAGACTTCCCCAGCCTGGATTCACCCTAAGCTCTCTTACTGTTCCTGCTTTCCTTCCTAGGACTCAAAGTATATACCAGTCGAAGACCTCCAAGACCCCCGTTGCCATGTCAGGTCCAAAAACAGAGACTTTTCCCTCCCAGTCCCTAAGTTTAAGGTAGGTGTCTGCTGGGCTCCTGGTGTGGTAATCCTAGGAGGGTGTGGAGGATGCGTCTTGGCACTGTAGCTGAATAAAAAGGTTTCCAGTGAAAGGGTCCCAGTCAGATTTAGCAAACTCTGAGACTCAGTTGTTCTGGATAGGAGGTACACTTTGTTTTCTAGAAAGG